GAAAAACTCGCAGAACAAACCAACACATCGCATCCGTTAGCAGTAAAGAAAAAAAGATCGTGAGATCAAACACGGCAGCCTTATGCTGCTTGCGGGATGTGCCACACTGAGGACAACCCCGAAAATCTAGGCCAAGCAGTGCCACACTGAGGACATTCCGCTTCGGGCGCACCGAAAAATGAGCCCAAAATCTTCCGCACTAAGGGAGATTCGCCAAGCAAGTGTACAACAAACCTTGCCCCACTTTTCAGACTTCCGCACTGAGGGAAGTTCCGAAAAGCAGGTGGACAAACAAAACTGTTTTCATGGAGTGAGAGGACACCCAGGATCTTTGGCTTCACTCCATGAATGCCATCCTCTTCTTCGATGTTCGTTACACCCACACGAACTCCACATTCTCCTCTTCTGTGGCGGAGCTGACTTTCAGGCAACTGGCCCGAGATGCTCGCGCTGACTCGGTCGATCTGCTCGAGGATTTCGTGGAACGGCTTCCCCAGGAGCGCAAAGCCTGGAGACGCTTTGCGAAGCACGAAGTCCGACTCGAAGAGTGAGAATCCGGCGTGAAAACCAAACCACCCAGTGAGACTGAGAGACCTAAAAATAATCCTTGAATCCCACTTTTGCTATGGAACTCCCACCCAAAAAAAAAAGAACCGCGTGCTAGTCAGAGGGGAAGCGGCGCTGAAGATGCTGACTTTGCTTCTTGCACGTTTTGAGGCACCGAGTTGAAGCAGAAAGCTCACCATCCGCTCGTTGCCCATCTCTTCCGCCACATCCAGTGGATACACCGGCTCCATGTGAACCTTTTGGTGTACATCACTCGTGTTTCGTGGGGTATTCACCTCCAAAAAGCCATGCCGCTCCAAGAATTTCTGCACACACGCCGCTCGCGCGGCGATGGCTTTAGGTGAGTTTGGGTCCATATCACGATAGCTGGACATTGCGAGCACGGAAGGAACGAACACCTGTGGGAGACCTGTCAATTGTCGAGGCTCAAGCCAGAATGGGCATTCGATGGCACTCCAAGCTTTCAGAAATGGCAAAGCTAGGAAACCCAACTCACTGATGGCGGAAAAACCGTCTGCTGGCAACCGGGCTTCACACCATCCCAATTGAACAAGAGAAATAATATAGACAAGAAAGAAAAGAACTGTCCTTACACTCGCTGCCAAGAAGCCAAAGATACACAGCCCTCCATCTATAGACCCCTGTTTCGCACCTCAAAACGTCCTATCTGGGAACCTCAACTGACATGATGAGTGCAATGAGCACATGCCAGGACCGTTCTTCCGGGCATCCCCCGCTTCATCGGGTTGGAGATGTCCGCGAAATGGAGCAGCACGGTCCTCGTTCGTGGTGTTAAAACCGTTGGCGAAATGGGTGATGGGTATTGTTCGGTTCTGGCTACTCCACCTGCTCTGGCTACCACCTAACACCTAGCTGGTAGAGACGGGTGGTCTTGACGAAATTGCTCACGAAGAGAAGGTTCCTTAGAGAGTTCATGAAAGGATTCATCTCCTGAGAATCCACCAACCAAACCCTGTGAATGTCTTGAAACGTCAGCTAATCAAACCAATCTGACATCAAGTATCTGCAAGACACCGGTTCAAAATGCTTCAAGTACAACAGATTTGGCGCCAATACTCTCATCTCCCAAGGAGCAAAGCTTCATGCCATGGGGGCCCCCCATCAGTGGCCGAACTTGGCCTCAAGGAATGGAACGTGCCAAAGCACCGTGCCAGGCGATATTTCGGGCGAGCCAAACGATCCAAACAAAGAAGGTGCACCTTGGAGTTTCGCCCCAAAAAGACATAAACGTTTTGGACGACGTCCTCCGTTTTGCCACTCAAAAAGCAGGGCTTGGGGGGGGTGACAATGCTTTGCTGCCACATGCCCGCGCTCACAACCGCCCCGATCACATGCCCGCGCTCCTCAGGGTCTTTTTCACATCCGGAGTCTTGAAATACTCCATGAGCTCCCGAGGAGGAAATTCCTCCGTGTTCATGTACCTGCGCTACTAGGAGTGGAGGCCATCGCTCTGGTGGGTGTTTCAGGCCATCGCTACGAACGTAACAATAATAAGCCCAGCGCCCAGACCGGCGCAGGGAAGCGGCGCAGAAGAGAGGGGTGAGAACACTCAGCGGCGGCCAGGCCACAAATGGCTGGCTGTGGCGTGACCGATCCCCTTTCCATAAGAAGAGACTGTAGATCGTGCAAAAAACTCTGATATACCGGCCGCTTTTTCTAGTCTTTAGTGCAGAATCGGACACAAGCAGGAACGCTTTCAAGGTGCGCTGGAATTCCAAAGATTGTGGCCTACATGTGGCCTGACTTGAAAGATGCCATGTCCAAACCAGGGAGTGGAAAACGAAAACCCCTATCCTCCAATTTTGGCATCCCTTTACAAACTCCTGGAGTTGGCAGTCCCAAGTACTGCATGTTTGAGCAGTCGGAGAGCTTGGCATTTTTTGTCTACTGCCACCCTTTGGATCAGAAAGGACTTTGATCAATGTGCACCAAACATGGCCGCTCTCCTGTGGTTGTTGCTTTTCCCAATATCTCATGAGTCCACACCCTTCTTCCACCCTACCACTCTTCCACGGCTCGTCACATCTCGTCCGCGGTGTCAAAGAGCTCCGCGTTCACACCGTACATCGACTCGAACTCCTCGATTGTTGGACATGACATGGACATGGGATGACATGGAACGAGCGATTTTTTGTGCTGAAAACACGGTTTGGAACGGGTGTTTTCTTCAGGTCTTGGAGGAAAATGACAGGGCCTGTCACAGAGACTTCCTCCTCCAAGTTCTTCCACCCCTTCCCTTCTTCACGTACTCGTGCGCAGGGACCGACCGTGCCCCAACGAGATCAGCCTCGCGAGTTTCCTAAGCCATCCTAAGCCATCCTGAGGGCACACCATCGCCGACAAAAAGCCGTGCTTTTGCAGGGCATCTTTTGGTTGATTCAACCCAAAAGGGACCAGCACCTTTTCTACTTCCTTCCCTGGAACAAACAAAAATGCTGTTGCTCCTCCGAAGGGTGCCATGGGGGACTTGTTGAAGCATACAAGGCTGGCCTTGACTTTCAGAAAATTGGGGGGACCCTGGTGCTTTTTGAAAATCCGTCAGCCCATGTAAGTTTGGCCAAAGAATAGTAACTAAACCAGCCATTTCGGGGTTCTGGCCATAGCTCATGTTAGCAACTGCACCCCTGTCAGCAGCCGTGCCTTCACCATGCCGGTGTGTTGCTGGCACGGGAAAATCCGGTGATTGGATGATTCGGAGGTCATCGAAAAAGGGATTTTCGGTTGGGGATGGAACTTCAACCCATCCAGAGGTCGTGGATGCCAGAGGCCGTGAAACTGAACCACCCTGACGTGGGACTGATGGCCAGCACATGGCAAAATTGACGTTAAATGGTATCTTTGATTGTCCTTTATTATTGTTAATGTCTGTTGCCCAGGCCGTATTTGTTGATCCCTATCCACGGGAATATGTTTCGAAAGATTACTTGTTCGAAGTCTACCAAATGAGCGTGTCATTGACTGGATGAATTGGACGAGTCCCTAGTTTCAGACACTGCCGTCCAAACCACTACTTGGGAAGACTGAACTCAAAGTCCTGGGGTCATTGTACCTTTATGGCAGAACTTGCACCAAAGCCATTGGGCTCTTTTTGCAGGAGGACTTGCTCCTCATTTATCTAAGAATCCTTGAGATCATCTGGCCGAAAGAGACTTGTGATGCTGAAGAAACTCTGTTGACCAACCTCCTTTCAGAGTGATCATATCTTACGCATTCCTCAAAACAGTGATTAGCTACTAGCCTGGAGAAGGTTTCATCATGCATGTGTATGAAGAGGCCTTTGGATTACAAGGCGTAGTTGTATTTTTGTTGAATGGTCTCCTCGCGCATGGTTCGACACCCAATTGAGGCCCTATCAAGCAGCGTACCATCGGTGTCATCACCCCGTCCACAACACTTGACCAAGAGGGTTCGAAACATGTCGGCATCACTGCGAAGTCCGTAGCAATGATGGAGTCCACGATGATGTGCCGAATGTGGCTGTAAATGACCTGCGCGTCTCTGCAGAATGTTTCCAACATGTTTGATCAAACGCACCTCCACTTAATGATGCCCCTTTTGTCTAGTAGAGGGGCTCGTTTGCCTATTGGTTGTTCACGATCCCCCTACAAATCGACCAATCAAATATAGAAGGCCCTCTATGCCGCAACTAATGCCCAGCTCTTCTGGAGCTGCCAAGCTGATGAATCCCTAAAAACGGCTGCGCACATGATCCCGAAGCCACCCACAGCAACTATCACAGTAATGTAGGCTCTTGGTTAATCCGCCGACCCCAGCTTAGCGGGCGAAGCAAGGCAGGGTGAAAACCTCACCGTTGCCCACCTCCCCTGCGCGAAACAACGTGGCTGAGGCTGTGGCGGAGAGGCCCCCTCCATCCCCCGCCGTCGGCTTGCAAACCTTTCTTTGTAGGGTTTCGAAACCCGCTTCGGCACCCCCCAACACCTCTTGCCGTGGGCTTGCATATCTGTTTCTATTCGGTCTCGGCACCCTTTCTGGCCGCTTGCGCAGAACAAGATTGGCTAAGGCGGAGGGCCTCCCACGCCTCTTGCCGTGGGCTTGCAAACCTTTTCTTCATTAGATTTCGAAACTGCCGCTTCGGCACCGGTTGGCTGGAAAAATTTTAAAAACACGTCTGCTCAGCAAAGTTTTTGCGTGAGCAAAGCAGGCAAAAACGAAGTATTCACTGAGACATTGCTATGTGGCACGCAGCTGCTTCTGTATGCAAGGTCGCGCAGCTTAAGCCGTGATCGGCAGCAAGTGAGTCTCCTTGCTCTCATTGTTCAAGTACCAGCCACATTGTAGAACAAGGCGGTGGAAGATTTGTCGAACCTGGCTGTCGTTAAAAAGACCTGTCTTCTCCCGTGCTTCTGCATCACTGCCGCTGTGGAAGGCAAAAAATCACTGCCTCCTTGAACTCCCCGATGGGACCGGCAAGGTGGCCCCATGCCTTTGAGTGCTGTTCCTCCACGCTGGCTTGCGAATCAAGAATGCATTTTTGCTGACTGCACGTGACTGGTAGACTTTATCTTTGGACAGCCTTGAACGCATAGAAAGGTTGATCTTGCTGCAACCACCAGATGTCAGAATGGCCACTGAAGCAAAGGCCTCCCATGCACGCCAAAGCCTGTCCCACATTACCTTGACGCCCTTAGAAAGTCCAAGGTGCAGTTCCTTGAACCTACCACACCCCATGCCATTAAGCGGGCCGCCTCTTGCAAGACTTGCATGGGACATATGGATACATTCAGCGGCTGAAAGGAAGCTCCGTCTCGACCGTGCTGCATTTTGCCTTTCGTCGAGCTAGTAAAATTGGCAGCCTGGAATCTACAACTTTGGTTCATTTCCCAGCCTTCATAGGGGGTCGGCGGCACCCGGGCGTCAGCCCGACTTATAAAACCCACCATATGACTCCATATGAAGAGGTGTTACAGTGCAAATGAGGGAGGGTGATCAATCAAGAGTCTACATTCCGCTTCTTTTGCTACCTCATACGAACACAGGAAGACAAAGGCAGCAATGTTTCCTGTTGTGTGCGTGAAGTTTCAACCCTCCTTAAGGACTCCTAAGCCGTAACCCTCCGAGCTGACTAGTGGGGATACCAGAGTTCCTTAGCCCGGCCCGTTCATCACCCTCGAGCTGTGAACAAATTGGGAAGCTCTGACCCACAGCCGCTAGTATTGGCAGGTGGTTCAAAAAGAGGGAGTACTGATTCATATGGACGATACATGAAGGGTAAAAAAAAATAGAACATGTGCAGAGACCTATGATCATCGCAACTCTTTTCTCACGCTTTTTACATAGACCTAGGCCAGCTCACCATACAAGTTCGTGACTTTGGGAATTTTCAGCTTTGAACCCCGCACCGGTGCGGAGTGCCACTTCGGGTGCAGTACGGCTCGGTGACGACCAGTCGTCCGTGGAGTCGTCCGTGGAGTCGGAGAACGATTCTGGCTCTGGGTCAAGACCCGGAGCCCCAAGCCACCAGGGTAGGTTGACCATGTCTGGTAGTTGACCTTCTGTTCATGTTCGGTGCTTGGGTGGTCGGGTGGGACACCGGTGCCATGACCCACAGCCCACAGCCACACACGCCACGCTTTCTTCACAAAATACTCACGACATCTGTACCTGGTTCAGCTCTGAGAAGAGGTTGTTCTCCTCTAGGGCTAGGATTTGGAAAAGCTTGCTGCAATGCATGTTCTCCAGGACGGACATGTCCTCGAGAGGTCCGGAAGAACGACGAGCCAGCGGAGCCGAACGGACGAGCCGAATTCATCGGCGGCGATTCATCGGTGAAGCGAAAAAAGAAGGTCCAACGAAGGACCATCGTACAGGTGTTCTCAGAGAAAAACCGTGGTAAATCCATCCGCTTCCACACTCAATGATTTCACTGGGCCACGTCCACGGCGAGGCGTTTCTCTGTTCGATCCTTCAAGAGGGTCAGGTGGCCAAGCCTTTCTGTGGTGAGTGTCTACCAGGGTCTACCATTCAGCCATTGGACAAATGATCAAGCGGCTTCTCAGAATCCCAAATCTGTGCCTGCTGGGTGGCCACCGGTTGGCCCCCGTAGAATACCTAGTGATCTAAGATCATCTAAGATCCGTCCGTCAAATCTGGTCAAAAACACCACCGAACCAACTCTCGATCGGTGCAATTCCGTCCGCCCTAAACCATCCAAAACCCTATTTTCGAGCACCCACCCCAAACTTCCAGCACCCATCTGGTGCTGAAATAGGTCGACGCCCACCAATCGCCCACCAAGAGAAGCTCGTTCTGGGACGTCCAGGCATTGTAGCATATGGCCAGTTCATGCTCGGTCCTCAGACTGCACCCGGAAGAACTTCGAGCATTTGCAGATCTGGGAGGGTAGTGGAGTCAGGTGCATTCTAGTGGCAGCGTCACAAGCTTCGGAGCTACTGGCCTCACGAAAAGCCGAGTCTCTGTAACGCTGCGAAACAAGTGAAAGGTTACAAAATGTTGGCAAAAAGAAGTCAGGCGCAGGAGTCCAAACATCACCGACTGCTTCTGGCCCACACCAAGCTGACTGGTCTTAGGTGCACATGACAGATCTTTGTGCTGTCCCAAGTCTTCTCTTTGGCTTCTCCCCTCCCCTCATCCCCCACCAGATCCCCTCCTGGACAGATGCACCGGGCTCCCACACTCCACCAAAAAGACGTTCGACCGCCCCTCATGGCCCAAGTCGTGCGCCAGGGCGGCCACCGTGAGCCCGAAGCCTCGACCGACCGGCGCCGGACCGGCGCCGGATCGGCTCAGGATCGAACCGGGCGTGCGGAGATGAGAGATTTTTGGACCTCTTTGGAAGGGTGAAGAGGGTGAAGAGGGTGAAGAGGGTGAAGAGGGTGAAGAGGGTGAAGAGGGTGAAGAGGG